GGAGTTACAGGCAGTTGTAAGCTGATGACATGGGTACTGGGAATCAAACTCCATTCTTCTGCAAGAGCGCTGTGCACTCTTTTTAAAATATATATATAAGAACTTTTCTAAGATAGAACTTATATACAAAACAGTCATCCATTTAAAGTATGTGATTCAGTGGCTGAACTAGTTCTTGCCAAGGCTGTGAACACCTGTCTCCTTACACCACAGGCGGCTTCAGCTTCCCCAGCTTAAGGTGTCATTATTTCTTTTCTTTTTAGGTCTTTTTGAGACAGGGTCTCCCTGTAGCCCAAGCTGGCCTGGAACTCACTATGAGACCTGGCTGGCTTTGAACTCACAGAGATCCACCTGCCTTTGACTCATGAGTACCGGGACTAAACGCTTATTCCATCAGGCCCAGCCTTACAAAGCTGTATTTAATATGAAAATTTTTCTAGTATTTGGAGGCTAGCTAAATCTTACTCTCCATTTCCCACATTTTAATGAATTCATAGTTCTTTAAACTGTGTGATATAATTTTATCTAAATAAATAGCTTTCAATATCACCATCAAATAGTTTATAAAACTCTTTGCAGAGTAAAACTCTTCTACTTTTCAAGAAGACTTCCTGCTAAAATGTTACAGTCTTACATTATTGAATGTAAATATTACATACCATAAATACAAATATAAGAATGTAAAGAATCCAGGTGTGGTGGCACACACCTTTAATCCCAGCACCTAGGAGGCAGAGGCAGGCAGATCTTTGTGAGTTCAAGGCCAGCCAGTGAGTTCCAGGACAGCCGGGGCTACGGCGAGACCCTGTCTCAAAAAGACCAAAGAAAAAACAAAACAAAACAAGGATGCAAAGAAGTAAAGTAACTACACACCGGAAGCAGCAAAAAACCTCATTAATTCTTGCTTTTTTCTGTTTTTTTTTTTCTTAATTTTATTTACTGTTATTGTTGTATACATGTATGTTGTGAGTATGGGTGCATGTGTATCATGGTGTACATGTGGAAGTCAGAGGACAGCTTTCAAGAGTCTGTTCTCTCCTTCCTTCCACTGTGGGTTCCCGGGATCGAACTCAGGCTGTGAGGCTTGCGCGGCAAGTTCCTTTACCCACTGATCCATCTGATTTATCTTGCTGGCCTGGTTTTTTCCCCCTAAATTAATCTCTGTAAAGCGTTGCTTTGTTAGTACCAGCGCCAGCAATATTGTACAATGTTCCCCTTCAGTAACCTTCCTCTTAATTCAAAGATTATCGAAAGAGCTAAAGGAGACATTGATTTTAGGAACATTAAGAAAAAGGAACACAGTGTATGAAGAATTTTAGGAAATGTTTGAAATGAGACATACCAATCTGCCGAACACGTGACGAGCTGACAATTTATTCCACTCCGATTCTCAAAGACGGAGCCCATTCTGTTAATCTGTTTTTAAAATTTTAAGAAAAGTAAATTCTGCATTAACAATAGTAGCCCCCCGCCACCCCGAGGTTTATCACCTTGCTAACCCATGGGCTTTTGATCAGCTATACAGGTATGAAATTCTCAAAGAATAAAAAAGAATTATAAAAAGCAAATTCAGAGTAACTAGAAATGATTTTTCTCAAAGCTATTTTCCTTTAAAAAATTTTTTTAGTAAAAATATGTAACACCACAGAAGTTTGGAACATAGATTCAAAATCGAATACAGGTCTGTCACGTATTCTTGTCCAGTCTTTTGCTACAGAAACTGTTTTTAGACAGCTTTAATTAAGGTGCAAAAAACGTTTCTCCTCAGATTTTTCATTTTGTATATTTTGAACATTGTGGCATATTAATAAATAATTTTAAATAATCTATAGATGATATGCTGTCATCTCATTATCCATCGTTTTTAGAAATGAAGACTCTTGCAGTTTTTCACTATCAACTGCTGAGCCAAACAGGAGCTTCTAGAGATCGCCTAGCAGGTAAACTCAACAGAGAAGAGGCTAAGTCTCAAATAAGAAACTGATGGTGTCCAGTGTCTGTAATTGTTGGCCCAACTCTTCAAGCACAGGGAGGATCTACAGGGTTGTCTCGTGGTCCTAGAAGACCCAAAGTCCCAATTAACTACCTGTTAAGGAGTTAACTACCTGTTAACTACCCATTAAGGGGTTGGAGGCAACCTGGGAAGGTGCCTCTCAAATCAACAGGGAAACAGGTCCTTCCTGACAGAGATAGTAAACAGAGGTGGGACTTCTAACAGGGCTGGAGGAAGAGGAGGGCTGGGGTCAGGCATCATGAGGGCCTCTCATGTGTGGTGTTATAGCAACCACAGACTGGGTTGACCCACCCCTGTGCCCACTGCCAACTTCCACTTGGATCTGACAGTCTATGAACCTTTCCTTTTAATGAGGTCCTCAGAGATGCTTTACCCTAGGACTTTACGTTTAAAGGATTAAAACTCTGTCCTAGTTAGCTTTGTCAACTTGACTCAGACTAGTGTCATCCGAGAGATAGGCCTTGACTGAGAAATTGCCAGATCAGAATGGCCTGTAGGCAAGTCTGTGGGGAATTGTCTTCATTATTTTTTGCAGGAGGGCACAGCCCACTGTGGGTGGCACCATCCCTAGGTAGGTGGTCCTGGACTGTGTAAGAAAGCTTGCTAAGCATAAATCTGAGAGTGAGCCAGCAAGTGGTATTCTTCCATGGTTTCTGCTTCAAGCTCCTGTCTTGAGTTCCTGCCCTGCCTTCCCTTAATGATGGACTGTGACTTGGAAGTATAAGCCAGACAAACCCTTTCCTTTGTGATCTTCAATATGTAAATATTAGAAAACTATCCCACTCTAGAAATCTGGTATTTATTCAAATCTGTTGATTTTTCTGTAATTCAAGTTATTCTTGTTTAAATTTGTCATCATCCAAGTTAACCTGTGGGTATGGTGGGAATTGAAATGAAGTTGAAAAGGAATTGTTTTGGATATGGTACACTTTCCATGGTCCTATGTTAAATCTTATACATAACAAACTATATACATAAACTATTAATCTTTTCCATCATGACTTCTTAAAGTGCGTAGATGTACACGTAGCTTCATATAATCCATTTGTTTTTTTTTTTTCTTTTGGTCTTTTTGAGACAGGGTCTCCCTGTAGCCCCAGTTGGCCTGGAACTCACTATGTAGACCAGGCTGGCCTTGAACTCACAGAGATCTGCCTGCCTCTGCCTCCAGAGTGCTGGGATTAAAGGCGTGCGCCACCATGCCTGGCAATCCATTTGTTTTTTAAAAAAGAATTTTATTTTACATTTTATGAATGTGAGTGTATTGCCTGCATGTGTGTAAGTATACCTGTGTCATGCAATGCTAGTGGAGTTCAGAAGAAGGTGTCAGATCCCCTGGAACTAGAGCTACAGATGGTTGTTAGCTGCCATGTGGGTGCTGGAAACCAAACACGGGTCCTCTGCAAGAGCAGCCAGTGCTCTTAGCTGATGAGCCATCTCTCTAGCCACACATAATCCATTTGTATACTTTGTTGAGGTAATTGAACTAATAACTGTCATAAGTACTTTTTTTCCTAAAAATGTTTTTTGGTGTGTGTTGTTTGTGTAGTGTGTGTGTGTGTGTGTGTGTGTGTGTGTGTGAGATGTGTGTGTGTGTTTGGGACTATGTGTGGAAGTCAGAGGAAAACTTTGTGGTGTTGGTTCTCTCCTTTTACCATCATGTGGGTTCTGGGGATTGAACTTAGGTCATAAGGCTTGCTTGGCAAATGCCTTTACCTGCGGAGCCCTCTCACTGGCCCTCTCATATGTACATTTTCAGAATGCTGTGATTTTCACTTCTTAATTATTTAAGGCACATAATAACTCATAGTAAACACTTAGTGGAGAGCTTCCATTTCCAAATTCATAGATAACCTAGTTTTCAAAGTCTGAGTCAAGCACAGAGCCTTCACCCAGGCTCCTAACTGCACAGCTTATTTCTGCCTAGCAGCCTTTTGGTGTACTTAGTTCAAAACTGCACGGGATAGTGCATTATAGATGTTTAGGGATGACTTCCCCTAAGTAGCTCAGATCATAAAATTTAAATACACAAATTCTAAGGGAGGAAGTATTTGTGCTTTCTGTATTGATGCTACCTATAGTTTTAGGTGATTGTAAACTATCCTACTGAAAGATTAGCTTTATTCTTTATATTTTGGGGGGCTGTTTTTTTGAGATACAGTCATACTCTGTATCCCAGGTATCCTAGTCTGTTTCTCCATTGCTGTGACAAAACACTCTGACCAATATCAACTTGGTGAGGAAAGGGTTTATTTAGCTTACATATCCCGGGTCACAGTTCATCATCAAGGTAGGAACTCAGGGCAGGAACCTGGAGGCAGGAACTGGAGCACAGGCCATGGAGGATCACTGCTTACTGACTTGCTCCCCTGGCCCCGTTCAGCCTGCTTTCTTATGCAACACAGGCCCACCTGCCCAGGGGTGGCACCACCCACAGTGGGCTGGGCCCTCCCACATCACTCATCAAGAAGATGGCCCTCAGACATGGCCACAGGCCAATCCAATAGAGGAAATTCCCCAATTGAGGCTTCCTCTACCCAGGTGTGTCAAATTGACACTAAAGCTATCCAGCACACCAGGCTGGCCCTTAACTCACAACCCTCCAATCTCAGCTTTCCAAGTGCTAGGAATCTAGTGTGCTCCATCATATTGTCCTCCAGTGCTAGGGGTTGAAGCCAGGTCCTCACATATAAGCAATGCTCTGATGCTTGCCTCATTCTTATCCCCAAATCTGGCACTGACCTGGTGACAGTGACCCAGTTATTTGGTGTTTGGTTCAAGGCTATTTCCAATTTAAATGTGGATGAATTATTGACTTGAGACACCTTCTTTGGATGAAATATGAATATTTCCAGCATAAGAAAAAGCCATCAAGACTCACCTCAAATGTGTCAGAGAGCCAGTGTATATCTGTGATTACTTTCCTATGTCCATTTTCTATTGAAGAAACTGCACAGTGCCTGATATACATTGCCTCTTTATTGCTGTCTGGTTCAAGGAGAAACATAGGCTGAAGAAATGTTAGAAGAAAATGTTAGAAGAAAGGTGGGTGCTCACACTTTACCCACAGTTCCAGTTAAAATTAAAAAAAATTTTTTTTAGCAATCTATCAGTTAAGGAAAGACATAAATTAGTGTTTCTATATACCACATATTTAGGTAGTAGGATTCTTACCTTTCCTTTTTCAATTAAGTCTAAGATTTTAATACTGAAACTTCACAAGGATTACTAGCCCATTCTAGTTCTTGAAGGAAGTTTTCCATGGGTGCACAGACACATCCTAGAATTCCCCTGTAGGAGACCTATGGCTATCAAGGCTGGAGAAGTGGGGCTGTAGAGGACCTGTGGTCTGGTTGGTAAATAAGCAGCTAGAAGCTGAAGAATCTTTTTCCAGTACTCTTTAATGGACTCCAGAGACTCACAGAATCAGAGCATACTTAAAAAAATTTAATTGCATCATTTATTTATTTTGTGTGTATGTGGGGGAGAGGAGTTCAGAGGACAACTTGGGGTAGTCAGCTCTCTCCTTCCACCATGTGGGTCCTGGGGATCAAACTCAGGTCATTAGGCTTGGTGGCAGGTGCCTTCACTCATGGAACCATCTTGCCAGCCCACCATATTTTTGTCAGAAATGACTGTCACTCTTTCATTTTATACATGAGAACCAATTCATGGTGAGGAGGCATGTGCAAGGTCACAGCCTGTAAGGCAGAGCCTGGACACCCAGTCCTCTGATGGACTCTCTCAACATCACTTCTGACAAGTCACTTGTTTCTTTCATTTCCTTTAACAACAAACACAGCAACAAACCCCCCAAATCCTGTGCTGGCAGATGAAACTTGTTTTGTTCTGTTCAATGAATGCCCGGCCTAAGAAGTGATTTAACACATGTCTACAGGCAAATGTGAAAAACTGGAAAATAGCATTCTTTATTTCCATGTTGTCTATATAGAGTCTTAAAAATCCAGTGTATCTCTTATACACATTTTGATAAACTCTTGAATAGAAAAAATAAATCCTTGCACGTGAAAAGCAGTAACAGCCAACCTTGAGGGTGGGCTTTTTGCTCCGACTGCCCCCGGCTTTAATGTTTTCTATGCGGTCTGCGTGTGCAGTGATATCCCACAGGATGATCTAAAACAGAAATAAACATTAGCATAACATTTTCAGGAAACAGCTTATTGAGTACAAAAGATTGTTTTAGGAATCTGTTGGTATACAGCCTGAAAAAAATTAGTCACCTTGGGGCAAAATCAGATCTAGCTTATAAGTCAAGTAACTCAGCAACAGAGCAAATAATACGCATCTCCCGATTTCCAAATATTTCCATCTCCCTATCGGGATCCCCAGCATTTTGTTTTATGATTGTGCCATAAATATTAGCATCAAACATCTACCTAAGATGAATATCATGTACTTCCCTATGTTTTGGGAAGATTTCTTCCTTGATTCTTGAGAATATGCCGAGATTGTAAGTATAGCTGCTTCAGACACAATGGAAAACAGAATTTTTAATAATTCTGCAGAATTAAGTACAAATACTTAATCACAGGGGGAAGAAAGGCAGTAAGGGATGTGGATCCCATCCAGTGCTTAACTGAATCTGCATATACCTGGACAACCACTCTTTGAAAAATCAGAACAAAGTAGAATACCTACACCAAGCTAGGTTAGTTTTCAGTAACTGGAAAATATTTCATTGCACACACAATTAGTAAATTGTCAAAGCTACAGAATCAAAAATGACTTTATTTTCATCATGTCCTTTTTGAAAATAATCTAAAACAAAGTAATGCTGTTTTGGTCATGAATGAAAACACATTTCCGTTTTGCTGGGCTTGGAGAATGGGCTCTGGGCCATTATGACCCTCGGTTACAGGAGACAAAAACTTGGGGGAGAAATTTGTTTTCCTGATTTTGTTGCCGTTGTTCTGGAGAAATGTCCCTGGAAGCTGCCCATGTTTAAATTTTAACCACAAGAAAGTTTTCCTAGGCACACACAGACAAATCATACATCGTTTTTTTTTCCTTTTTCGAGACAGGGTCTCATGTAGACTAGGCTAGCCTTGAACTCCTTATGACCCTCTTGCCTCTACCTCCCAAGTGCTGGAATTAGAGACTTCTGCTACCATGTTCAGTTTATGTGGTGCTGGGGATCGAGTCCAGGGCTTCATGCATGTGAAGCAAGCATGTTCTACCACTGAGCTACATCCTGAGCCCCAGATGATATACCTTTCTAGTGGCCAAACTCACTTGATTGAAATAAATTTGAGCTTAGATCATGGAATGGCTTTAAGGTTTTTGTTTGTTTGTTTTTGTTATTGTTGTTTTGCTTCCCTAGTATAATAACGTTGGGGGATAGGATAGCAATATCACATAAATTAGATAGCTTAGAAAAAAAAGTAAACACAGTGTCATATATACCTAAATTCAATAATATATGTTTACTTTCCAGATAATTGTTACTTGAATTCTGTATCCTTTCATAACCCTATGTAACCTCAGAGAATTTCAACAGTAGTATCTTTTTAAGGGTTAGTGATGCTTCTTGTACTGGTCAGTATTTATTGTCAACTTGACACAAATCAGAGTCACCCAGAAACAGGGAACTACAATTCAGGAATTTCCTATATAAGATTGTCTATAGGGCATTTCTTTTCTTGATTGATAATTAATGTAGGAGGGCCTAATCCACTGTGGGTGGTCCATCCTTAGGCAGGTAGGTCTGAGTTGTGCAAGAGCCAGTGAAAGAATGAGCAAGCCAGTAAATGACTTTCCTCCATGGTTTCTGCTTTAGTTACTGCTTGATCTCCTGCTCTGACTTCACTCAGGGATGGACTGTTAACTGGAAGTGTAAGTTAAATAAAGCTTTTCCTCCCCAAGTTACAAGCAAACTAGTACATTTGTATTCTTCCATGGAATTTTATACAACATGGTTCTATCCCAGTGACATGAATAGACAGACTGAGTTTTGTTATCCTGAGTTAGCCTGTGAACACCTCAAATGTCAACACCACACCTAACACATCTTTGCACCCAAGTTCCTGGCAGAGCAGTTGGCATTTTGCCAGCATGCCTTTCTTGTGTCAAACAAAACCCTTAAATTCTAAAACTAGCAAATCAAAACTTCTTACAGCATTCTGCCAGCATTAATAAACATCTGAAAGCAATTCATAAGTACCTGTCCATTTATACAGCCTCCAGCGATGATATTAGGGTCACTTGGACAGAACTCGAAGCAGAAGATGTCATCAGGGCTCTCCAGCATCAACTAAAGAAAAGCCAACCCCACAAATCCAAGAGTGAGAAGTTCTATTAAAATCATGACTAGGGAAGTCAGGCATGTGGCACACGCCTGTAGTCCCAGCACTTGTAAGGCAGAAGCAGGTAGCTCTCTGTGAGTTCAAGGACAGCATGGTCTACATAGTGAGTTCCAGGCCAGCTGGGGCTACAGGGAGACCCTGTTTCAAAAAGACCACAAAAAAATCATGACTAGGAAATCTTGCAGAGGTGGCTAGAAGTCTAATTTTGCTGTCATCTATAAGCAATGCACATTTGAATCCACTCTGAGTTCCACTTCTAAGTTAGAAAGTACTTTTGTTGAATTTTATTGTAGACCCACCTACATTATTTAGATAGGTGTGCTCCAAGAGACAGCCAGTTACCTCTATCATCTTCCCAAAGAATATGTAATTACTAGGGCATGTTATCATAGTTTATTTATTTATTTTTATTTAATTTTCAATTTTAAAATTATTTTTATTTTATGTGTATGAGTGTATTACCTGCATGTAGGTAAGTGCACCTGTGTTGTGCAATGCCCGTGGAGGACAGAAGAGGCCATCAGATCCCCTGGAACTGGAGTTACAGACAGTTGTTAGCTGCCATGTGGGTGCTGGGAACTGAACCTAGGTTCTCTGGAAGAGCAGCCAGTGCTCTTAACCTCTGAGCCATCTCTCCAGTCCTTTACTCTTTCTTTAAAATTCCCTTCCCTGCCATGTGGCTGCTTTGATGGCCGCATGTCTGACCTCCATCCGGCTTAAGACATGGCTTTCTTTTCTTTCTCTCTTCCCTTCTCCTCCTCAGTCAGGGCAGCTGCTAACATTGGAAACTTGCTTGTCCTGCGGGTTTTTCTTTTAAACTCTAATAAAATTGTCCTTAATCTTCTGATTGCATCCATTCTTAAATTCTTTTATTAATGAAACCAAGAACTCTAAGAGGGGACCCTGTTTTCCCCTGTATCAATATCTATGGTAGAAGAATACCAATATTATTGGTAGGAAAACTAAGGATAAGAGAAACACCATGTATGAGCTAAAGAGAATGTAAAGTGTGCAAATAAGCCTAATAAATAACCTTAGTAGCTCTGTCAAAAAGATTATGTTTGTCTTTTTTTTACATGTATATATGTGTGTGGTGTGTATGCCATGTGTACATGTGTGCATGCATGTTTGAATGTGTGTGTGTGTGTGTGTGTATGTGTAGGCCACAGGTTGATGTTGAGTGTCTTTTTTGGTCGCCCTTCACCTTATAGACCACCTTAGATACAGAGGCAAGAGCTCTCACCTCGAACCCAGAGTTTCCCAATTTAGCTGGTCTAGCTACTGAGCTTGCCCTGAGGATCCCTGTCTCCGCCTCCTGAGTGCTGAGATTACAGGCAGGCTATCATGACCACCCAGCATTTATGGCTGCTGGGATCCAAACAGGTCCTCATGCTTGCATAGCAAGCACTTTACACACTAGTCCACCTCCACAGCTCCTGCTTGTCTTTTTAATGTATACTTGACTCCAGTTCCAGGAGATCCAGTGCTCTCTTCAGGCTTCCACGGGCCTTGTTTGTACACGGTGCACTTACATACATGCAGCCAAAACACTCATACATATAAAATAAAAAAAAATAAAATTTAAAAGACACAAGGAAGGAGAGTTTTTCATCTTCCTAACTGCATGGAGTTCAGCCACACTTCCATAACAGAGTACAGCATAGCCCGGCAAGGTAATAATACCAGGAAGCCATGATGGACGACCCTCACCATTTTTCTGGTAATTAGGTGAAGAGATAGACATCTGTCAATTTTATCTCTGCATCTATAACAAAATATACAATCTATTAGAATAAAACTGTGTCTTGCTACATAATAAGTTCCAGGCCAGTTGGGGCTACAGGGAGACCCTGCCTAAAAAAAAGAGACCTAGAATAAAACTGCTCTAATCCAGAAGTAGGGAAGAGGACAAAGGGGAAGTTAGAACTTATTAGAGAAGGCCTTAATTATGTAATAATTAAGAAGCTTAGAGAGGGGCTGGAGAGATGGTCAGTGTTTGTTCTCTCAGAGGACCCGGGTTTGGCTCCTGGCACCCATATGTGTGTGTGTGTGTGTGTGTGTGTGTGTGTGTGTGTGTGGTTTAGTTTTTGTTAAACTTCAAAATTTGTAAAGTTCATAAAAATTCCAAATTTCTGATTCCCTTGATGCTGGATTGCTGAAGAGCAGTGTGGTCAGACCCTTCCCTCGGCACTCCGTGGTCACTGGTCCCACCACTTCCCACTACTCTCCCACAGTTATTTTTACTAACTACCATCCCCTACTGGTGATCCTTGGAATTGAGGAAATTTCTGTGAAACTAAAATCTGTTTGCATACTCATCAATTAAATAAAGTTCATTAAAGAATTGTGTGTGTGTGTGTGTGTGTGTGTGTGTGTGTGTATGAGTGTGTGTGTGTGCTTGCATGGATGCAGGAGGTTACTGTCGAGGGTCTTCCTCAGTCACTTGTCTACATTTTTTTTTTTTTTTTTTATAAGATAGGGTCTCCCATAGCCTTAGCCGGCCTGGAACTATGTAGACCAGGCTGGCCTCAGTCTCACAGATATCTGCCTGCCTCTGCCTCCCAAGCGTTGGGACTAAAAGTGTGTGCTACCATGCCCAGTATTCTAACTTATGTTTTGAGATGAGGCCTCTCATTGAACCTGGAGGTCCTTGATTGCTCTAGACTGACAGGCCAATGAGCCCCAGAGAGCCTCCTGTCTGTCTCTACCTTTCAACACTGGGGTTATAGATGTTCACCATTATATTTGACTTTTTATGTGACTAGTTGAGGATCTGAACTCAGGTCCTCGTGCTGTGTGGCAGGCACTTTACCAACTGAGTCATCTCCATAGCTGCAAGAGCATATGTTTAAAAAGTAGCATTAACTTGTCCAATATACTTTCTTTTTTTAAAAAAATATTTTATTTAATTTTTAATTTTATTTTATGTGTACGAATGTATTACCTGCATGTATGTAAGTGCACCCATGTTGCGCAATGCCCTTGGAAGTCAGAAAAAGGTGTCAAATTTCTTTGGAACTGGAGTTAAGAATAGTTGTTAGTTGCCATGTGGGTGCTGGGAATCGCACCCAGTTCCTCTGCAAGAACAGCAAGTGCTCTTAACTGCTGAGCCATCTCTCCATCTTCCCAATTACTTTTAAAAATTAAATATAAAGTTTAGTTTTGCTCAAATTAAGAGATGACAAACTCTGATCAAAGAAATCCTAATTTTATAAGGGTTTACAACATTGATTAGGTGATTGTAAAGTAATGTGCAATTAAACTTTAAAGACATATGCCATGAAGTAGTATTAGAAAAGAAAAATTTATGTAACTTCCATTAATTACCTGAGGATGTATGGGGTCAGAGAAACTCCAGAAAAGAATCAACGATGGCTGTAGCAACAATTTACCAGAAAAGTGGACTCTCTCTTCATAGGAGAGGCGTACAGCCACTGACACGACGATTAGCCCTGGTGGAAACACAAGTATGAAAGTGAAGCCAGCAGCAGCTCCTGTCGCAGAGATGTCTTCTGGCTTGTGCTTTCTGTGCGGTAGTTTCAACATGATAGGCCTGAGCCGCATGTCACTTAGCTGAAGATGCAGCTGGTACAAATTGGCACGTGCTATCAGCATAAACAATGAACTTAGGAGAGTTGATAAGAAAAAAATTTAAGATTTCATTTTATTTTTATGTGTCTATGTGTGGGTACGTGCATGACTGTAGTACCCATGGAGGCCAGAAGAGGGCGTCAGATCCCCTGGAGTTGGAGTCACATACAGTTGGAAGTCATCTGATATGGGTGCTGGCAACTGAGCTCTTGTCCTCTGCAAGAGCAGTATATGCTCTTAAAGTCTGAGCCATCTCTCCAGCACAAATTTTTTTTTTTTTTAATGAGACAAAGGCCAGTGGGAAGGGATAAGAGGAAGAAAGAGGCTCAAGACTTCTCTTTTTTCTGTTGCATCTCCACACGTTGCTTCCCCCTTGGCTGCTGAGCTCTCTAAATATGTCTGCTCAGAATGTTAGAGGCAGTGAATTTCATGCTGGTGAGTCCAGTGGCCTCATGTAAGTGCAGATTACACATTTGCTGCCCTAGCTGAGTGACCCGAGCAAGTGCCCCCCCTCCCCGAATGCCTCCGTTTGGTCTTCTTGTAAGATAGACATAACTCTCTGTGTGTGTGTGTGTGTGTGTGTGTGTGTGTGTGTCTGTGTCCATCCGTCTGTCCATCCCACAGGATTGCTGGGGCTTGTGACAGTGCCAGTGAGCACAATGCTTGCTTCGTGGGGGCCTGGTACTCAGTACCTTGGTTGTTTAACTGAAACTGGTTTCATTTCCAATTTTAGATATGAAAGCAATACTATTTCAAAGTCAGCACCGAAGGGAACTCCCAGGATTTCCTCCTCACCATAGATTGTTGGGTGCCACGAGACACAGGTAATCATTTTCTCCATGGTGCTTTGGAGGTCCGTAAAGGACTGGTACTCTTTGAGGTGGGTGTCAGTCTTGTCCCCAAAGGTGCTTTCTTCTTCTGCCAAGCTCTTCCAGTCATCAATAAACGTGTTCATGATTTCATTTTGCTGCAGGGCTATTTCAACACTGTTTAAAAAAAAAAAGCAAAAAAGATGGTAGACTCCAGTATTCAGTGCTATTGTAACTGTCATGGCACGAATGAAAATATTCTTAGAGACACTTGCTCATATCATCAATCTCTTTGGAGATCAGACTATTGAAATACTGGTCCCCAAGGAATTGGAACTTCCCCAGGAATCTCAGGCTGGGAGAAGGAGAAGGTTAAAGCCTGGTGCCAGCCAAAGAGCACCTTATTTCCCAGGAAGAGATTTCACCCAGTTCTAAAGCCTTGAAGACCATGCTGCTGGAGAGATTGGGACTTGGTCAATGATGGGTCAATGATGGGTAAGACTGCATCTCAACCAGGGCTGCCTAGCCATGCATACCTCCTGCTCTCTATTCAAACCTAAACCTCACGTCAAGATCCCAGAAAATGAATTTAAGGGGTAGAATGTTTTCGGGCCTCTTTTTAAAAATATTTTATTTATTATTCTTATTTTATGTGTATGAGCGTATTGCCTGCATGTATGTAAGTGCACCTGTGTCATGCAATGCCCACAGAGGTCAGGAGAGGGCATTGAATTCCCTTGGAACTGGAGTTAAGGATGGTTGTTAGCCACCATGTGGGTGCTGGGAACCAAACCTGGGTCCTCTGCAAGAGCAGCCAGTGCTCTTAACCACTGAGCATCTCTCCAGCTTGGACCTCTTTATTTGTTCCTCTTTCCAATGTGGTCACATTGAGTAAATTCCCTTTCTCCACTTTTCACTATTACTTGTGTGCTTAATTGGTCTATTGAGGAACTAGTGGGGTGACTGAGAAAGTGCTTAAACTTGCTGCTTTCCCCTCTATTTCTCATGGTGTACCTCTCAGGAACCCTCTACCACTGACTCTGTCTCTATTACTTCCTTGAAAACTCAAACTGACATGAAGGGTAGTTTTCAATACTATGAAGGCATAGTCAATACTAAATGATCATTTATACTACGTGAGGATAAACACTTAATGTTTCAAAACAACAAACTAAGAGTCTTAGAGGCTGGAGAGATGGCTCAGTGGTTAAGAGCACTGGCTGCTCTTGCAGAGGACCTAGGTAGGTTCAGTTTCCAGCACCTACATGGTGGTTAACAACTGTCTGTAACTCCAGTTCAGGGGACTTGATGCCCTCTTCTGGCTTTCAAGGGCATTGTACACATGTGGCACACGTACGTACACGCAGGCAAAACATTCATGCACATAAAATAAAAAGAAGTCTCAACAAGAAAAGATATAGATTGAGTGTGTGTGCTGGTACACTCTCTTCCCCATTAATGGCTTTAATCACACCCAGGGAGATCACAATGCATCAAGCTTTAAATCTTCCTGTCTGTGCACAGACTGCTCACAGTCTAGAGCTTCAAAGCTGAAACCTGACTTTACGTAAAAGCATTAGTATCTCCAAAGTCGCATTTCTTTTCTTTTCTTTTTTTTTTTTTTAAAAGATTTTACTTATTATTTTATATTATTGTGTAAGTGTATTGCTTGCATGTAGGCAAGTGCACCTGTATTGTGCAAAGCTTGTAGAGCCCAAAAGATGGTGCTGGATCCCCTGGAATCCCCTGTTAGCTGCCATGAGGGTGCTGGGAATCAAACCTGGGTCCTCTGGCAGAACAGAAAGTGTTCTTAACCATTGAGCCATCTCTCCAGCTGCCAAGGTCACATTTCTTTTAAAAATGTATTAATTTTTATTTTATGTGAATGAGTGTTTTGCCTGCATGTATGTGTACCACATGCATGAAATGCCCACAGAGACCTGAAGAGGGCAAAAGATCCACTGGAAATGGAGTTACAGTTGGTTGTTAGAAGCCATATAGGTGCTGGGAATTGAACCTGGGTCCTCTGAAAGAGCAATCAGGGCTCTTAACCACTGAGCCATCTCTGTGAGAAAGGATGTTTCTTCTCAAGGGAAAAGTTAGAGAAGCAGCTTTTTGCTCTTGTTTCAAGATTTGTCTCTTTCAACCAGAATGTGGAAGTAATTCAAAAGGGCCAAGTTGGGAAGGGAGAAACAGGAAGCAGGACAGTCCTTTCTGGTTTCCCGTTTCTCTGTTTCCAGGAACTGTGCAAATGTTCTAAGAAGTACTGAACTGGAGGCTGGCCAGTCTCCTGCCTGGGTGAAGGCCTGTGGGATCACTGCTGTTTGGAACCCCCACTTGTTGCTTTGTTGCTTCTTGAGTCCCTTTGAAGTTTCTCTCATCATTTTCTTCTTTGGCCAGTGATGGTTTCACTTGGGTTTATTTTAGATGCTATTCTATTCTGGGCTGGCCTCTAGACGCAAATTCATCTTAATATTAATTCAAAAATATTAAACAATAAACCACAGTTTTAAAGGCGGAAGGAAAGCAGTGTAGGCTTTTTATTTACTCTGACCAGTGCTATTACAATTCTTGTGCAAATTTTCCTCTCTTTTGGGTCTGGGTTCTCTTTCCTGTGTTAAGGAGGGAATTAAAACCACCACCACCAAACCCCCCAAAACTCCTTGTCAGAACCTGCACCTTTAGGCCTGAGCCCATAGCCTGGATCAGGCCACGCCTCCCTGCAGCTCTCTCTGGGATAGAGTTAAGAAGCAGTCTGTGCTGTGACTTGACAGCTCTCAGTTTATGGTACCTGGCTCCTCCATGCTCCTTGTATACTATGCTGAACTAAATCATGGGATGTGAAACCTCCTGTCACCCCCAAGAGGTTATAAAAAGTCAGACCTTTCCTTTGTTCTGGGGATTTGTAGGAATGACTTTTATAATCCGGACACAATCTGTCCTAAAGACTTTTATTTACTCTTGCAACCAAAAAGGTTACCATTTATACTGTAAACAAGCACACTGAGCCCTCTGCTCTGGTGACCTGAGCATAAGGCCTTAATCCCTCATGACCCACTTTGTGCTCCACCGAGATAGTGAATGAATGTGAGTGTGCTTGTTTAACACATCAAAGCACTGGAAGCGGCAAATTTCCAGTGAGGGGATCTCTCTCTCTCTCTCTCTCTCTCTCTCTCTCTCTCTCTCTCTCTCTCTCTCTCTCTCTCTCTCACACACACACACACACACACACACACACACACACACACACACACGAAGCCCACAGTTCTGTGACACATCTGAAGGAACAGGTGCTTCTCAGAGTTTAGGTCCACTCTTGGCCTTAAAACTAAAGCTGTGAGTCAGGCTGTTTATTTACTTAGGTATAACCATCATATAGCTTCGAAAGGGACACAGGGATTGGTCTGAGACTCCTCAGCTCCCCCGCTCAGAGATTTGGTACAGAGATAAAGACTCTTTGAAGAGGCTCCTCTGACAGCCTCCCCCCGCCCCCAGCCACCATCTCTCTCATGGCAGCTTCTCTCTCTCCTTGTGCCTCTCCCTCTCCCTCTCCTCTCTCTCCTCCTACCCCAAACCCCTCTCTCTTCCTCCCTATTTCTCATTCTCCGCCCCCTCCCCCACTTTTTTTTAAAACAGGGTCTCCCCGCAGCTGACCTAGAACTCACTATGTAGACCAGGCTGGCCTCAATCTTAGAGAACTGCCTGCCTCTGCCACCTGAGTGCTGTAATTAAAGGCAGGTACTACCACACCCAGCTCTTATTCTCTATCTTAATGAAGCTCCTCTCCAGGCTTTAAATGAGTTATATGTCAGCTTCCTTTTTGGACCAATTGTTGCTCTATCATTTTTTTTTTTTTTTTTTGTTCTTTTTGAGCCAGCGTCTCTCTGTCGCCCCAGCTGACCGGGAACTCTTTATATAGCCCAGGCTGGCCTCGACCTCACGGAGACCCCCCTGCCTCTGCCTCCCAAGTGCTGGGATTAAAGGCGTGCGACACCACGCCTGGCTTCTATCAACTTTTATAACCCCTCTCTCCCTCCCTCCGTCCCTCTCTCCCTCCCTCCCTCCCTCCCTTCTGTTTTGTTTGAGACAGTCTCATATACTCCAAGATGACCTCCTGATCTTCTGCCTCTACCTCCCCAAAGTTGAGTGTATTAGTTACTTTTCTGTTGCTCTGATAAAACACCATGACCAAGGCAACTTATAGAAAGAAGGAAGAGTTTATTGGGCTTAAAGTTCCAGAAGGATAGCGTCCATCATGGCAGAGGAGACATGGCAGCAGGCAGTCGGAGTAGAAAAGTTGATTTCTCATATCTTCAAACAAGCACAGGAAGCAGAGGGACAAACTTGGAAGCAGAGAAGGCTAAAGCCCACCCCCAGTGACATGCTTCCTCTAGCAAGGCCACACCTCCTAAACCTCCCAAACTGCAGTGTTCAAATACTTGGAACCTATGGGGGACATTCTCATTCAAACCACCAAGCTAGGATTACAGGTGAGGCCGCCCAGCCCACTAGTACTTACTCTAAGCATGACACCCCAGTGCCAGGGATCCAACTCAGATCCTTGTTCTCTCTAGGCAAGTACTTTATTGGCTGAGCTGTCTCCCCAGTCCTCTTTTTCTCTTAAAAAAAATTCAATCTATTATTACTCACACACAAGTGTGTGAGTATACTTGTGGAAGCCAGAGGCTCTTTTCACTTTGGGTTCCAGGGATTTAACTCAGGTCATTCGGCTTGCACACCAAGCACTTTTACTTACTGAGTCATCTCATTAGCCCACCTCCTTTCAGTCCCTTCTCCTCCCCTGCCCTCCTCTTCTCCCTCCTCTCAGATCCTTTCCCTTCTCTTCATCTCTCAGAGCCAGAAAGTGTGGCGGCAACACAGAATTCATGATAACAGTGATGTACCCCAAAGCACATCTGATTGAATTCAGATTCTTATTCACAAAGATGGTCCTACAGATAGTTTCACCATAATAATCACCCCCCCAACAGCTACCTGCAGGCATTCTTGTGGCTCTACAAAGGTCAATGAAGTGAGAAGGAGAGCAAGGAAGTACAGAGAGATCTGCAAAGAAACCATGGTAAATACAAATACAGACACAGCAGCCCCAATCCCAAAACTCAAAACCTGAAACTTTTTTTGAGTGTGGACATAACATCACAAACAGAAAAAACCCATACTTCTCTTTCATGTACAAAGTTATTAAAACTACTGTTTAAAGCCAGATATGGTGGCACATGTTTGTAATGCCAGTACTTGGGAGGCTAAGACAGGAGGACCGAGTTCAAGGCCAGCCTGGGCTACACAGGGAGACACTATCTCAAAAACAAAACAAACAAAAATTGTATAAAGGGGTCTTCAGGCTATGTGTATAAGGTGTACATGAAGCATAAATAAATTTGTGTTTAGACTTGGGTGCCAGCCACAAGATAGCCCATCAAATACAGATTAAATATTCTCAAATATGAAAAAAAAATCTGAAATCTGTAACCCTCTGGTCTCAAGCATTTCACAGAAGAACTGTTCTGTGTTTGGTGTGGCCTTAGCATGTGAGGTCTCTGGTAGCTTAGCAACAGAAAAAGGGCAGGGAAGACCAAGACTCATGCCCCTCCAACAACTGTCCCCATACTTCTGTTCTAAGTGCCACACGTGAAAGTGCTTCTCGAGACCCATTATTATACACAAGCATATACATTTTATGTTTAAAGTTTTTAATCTATCATTTCTTACCCTGTAGACACGGTGTTGAGAAAGTCAGCCAAAGTCTTTGATTGTCTGAGTTTTTCTTTTTCCTCTTCTGAGAATTCTCTTGGATAATACTGTGTAGTAGCATTTTTAGGAAATGTCCTAATATATAAAAGATTGAGTACAGTTAATGACAGGCCAAATGTTCATTTCTGTGCCAGAGATACCAGGACATTTATATAGAAATATTTTACCTTGCTATTTTTCTTTACTATATAAAATTGATATTAACAAAATCTACACATCCTTTTTTTCAACATAATAAAAAGGTCTTGGGAACTAGTAAGAGAGAGGGATGAATGATGTAGGAAGGTTGCGGGAGAACATGGTCAAAGTACATTGACATATCCTTTTGAAACCCAGTACTGTATACAGTGAATATATGCCAATATAAATTAATTTTAAAAGATCTTAACTTTGTACGTTTTTTACTTATAAATCATTAAAAAATACAGAAAAGTTCTAAGAAGGATGCAGCTATAAAGAAATTCCTGGGGCTGGAGAGATGGCTCAGCATTTAAGAGCACTGGCTGTTCTTGCAGAAGACGGGGATTTGAATCACAGCCCCCACATGGTGATTAACAACTGTCCATAACTCCAGTTCCAAGGGATCTGATGCCCTCTTCTGACCTCCATGGGCATTGCACAACACGAGTACACTTATATACACTCAAGCAATATAGTCAAACACATAACATCAATTTTTTAGTTTTGGGTATTTTGAGACAGGGTCTCCTGTAGCTTCAGCTGGCCTGGAACTTGCTATGTAGACCAGCCCGGCCTTGAACTCACAGAGATCCACCTACCTCTGCCTCCCAAGTACTGGGATTAAAAGTATGCACTACCATGCCCGGCCATAACATAAAAATTGGAAAAAAAAAGAAATTCCTATACCCCCTTCAACCAGATTCCCTATATATGTCATAGTTCAGTTCCCTAATGGTTTCTTTCAATTGATATTTGTCAAATCTACTTTTATTGTTTTTTTCTCCTTTCCTCTCCTCTTTCTCTGATTGTTTCTGTGTGTATGTGTACGTGGTGTATGCAGGTGGTTTATGTGTACAGGTGTGTGCTTGTATGTGTGAGTATGCTTGTGCACACATGTGAGGAGGCCAGAGGGGACGCTGCTCTATTCTCTGCCTTATTCCCTCGTGACAGGATCTCTGTCTGCTTCCAGAGCCAACAAGTCCCAGTGGTCCTTGGGCCTCTGCTGCGCCCCTACGCCCCATAGTGTTAAACAGGTGGGAGTGCAACCATGTTTGGCTTTCTGTGGGGGTCCTCATGTTTGAACAGCCAGTACTCTGGCCCACTGAGCCATCTCCCACCCCTAAATCTGTGCTCCCTCACAGGCACAATCTGTCCCACTTCCTCAGGGAACATTTGGTGAAGTCTGGAAACAGTGTTAGGTGTCACTGAGAATGCTAGTGTAATCTAGGGGGTAGAGCTCAGAGGCCCTATGCACCCTGCAAAGCACAATAAAACCCTCCCTCTGAAGAGAATTACCCAGCTTCAAATACCAGCCACAGGAAGGCGAAGAGCCGTGTTCTAAGACACAGAAGGAGGACTTAGTTAATCAGGCAGCAATAGTATGACTCCCTGGAGGTGAGCTTTAACAAGATGGCTTCTAGGACTTTCTGCACCACGAACATGTTGTACCTTCATCCTCAGTCTCACCAGACTGGGTGAGCCTTGGGTTCTAGGCTGTGGGGCTGGGAAATAGCAGATGGCACAATCGTTATCAGTGAGGACTTAGGACAGGCTGCCTGGCTTGGAAGCTTGGTTCAACTGCTAATCATGTGACTCTGAGCTACCTGAGGCTATTTTTTTCATTGTAAATGAAATTCTTATAGCACCACAGAGTCAGTGTAAAAATGGGAAGTGTTTATATGTGCAAAGCTTTGAGAAGCATGCCTGGCATACTTGATGTGTTCGATAAAATACTAGATATTTAATGTGTTTGTTGAACAAGCATTAGTAAATTGTTGCTGTGAGAGGCAAATATATTAAATAGTAATCAGGCAGAAAGGTGAAAGGGTTTTAAGTATGTTTAATAGTATGTTTACTAGAACAACTCTTTCTTTCTTGCTATATTGCTATCCACGGCAGAAGGCTGAGTGGTGGTAAGAAAGAATATTGATATTGAAACCTGAGAGACTTGGGCTCAGATTTCATTTTCACCTTTAACTTCCTCCAGGCAGGGATAAGAAATAGGTCTCCGATTTTATGGAAATAGCAATGTAACCGAGTCACTCTTATTTTTTAAGGGTGACTTGTTTTATTGTTCTGAGCAAAACCATTTATTAGTACTTCAATATAAATTATGTTCTAAACATGGAGTTTTATTTATCTATTTGTGTGTGTGTGTGTGTGTGTGTGTGTGTGTATGTATGTGTGTGAGAGAGAGATTTTGGGGCTAAAAAATATTAGCAAAAGTGTACATTTCACCCCTCATCAACAAAGCTCTTTTGCAACAGATAGGAAACTATTACAGAATTCCAGAACTGATGTAACACAGAGAATAAGTGTCTGTAAGACCCTTAACCCTAAGTGACACATCTTCAATGCAACCTCTATATTTACTTAGGATGAATGCATCTCTCAACTCTCACCAGGGAAATTTCCTTTTGCAGCAGAGGGTGATTAACACAGAGACCCACAATTAACCGATGTGCAGAGAACAAGAGGCTGCAGAGACATTATCTCTGAATAGGACAGCTGTTTCAAACCTCTGCCTCCCAAGGCTCAGGGATCATTGTGGAAAAGGAAGTGGAAAGATTGTTAAGAGCCAGAGGGGGTGGATGACCACAGAATCTTCTAGATAGCTGGTCAGTTACTCATATGAACTCACAGCAATGGTGACAGCGTGCACAAGTCCTATGCAAACTCAAAGACAAAATCCCAGCATAGACATGGGGAAGTGGGTAAGAAATCCCAATCAAACCTAAGGAACTTTTGGCAATTGATGGCTGCTGGGAGTGGGGAAAGACAGTGTCTTACAGGGTTGGGACTCTTGGTGGGTCTAGTGAATGGATCCGCCCTGAAGGACATTGGGAGACACAAATCATACTCTATAGGCCATATTGTATATATAAGAGAGTTCATTAATTGGGTGGAGGGCAGTGTGTGGGGGGCAGGTCTAAATAACATCAAACTATATTGTATAAAAATTGCAAAAATTCAATAAAAATGCCAAAAATAAATGTTAGGCTAGTGCTAAATCGAACTACAACACCATATGAACTTTCATTTTGAACCTTTGATTCTTTACTTGAAAAATGGGAATAGAGTCTCCTGTTGAGGGCCTCAGTGAGGATTAACTGAGTTGATGTGCGCAGAGGGGAATGCTCTAAATATTTGCCTCACCATCATCACTCTCTGCAGCTCATCGCTGAATTTTCACGACACCTTCAATCAGCATCACGAGTTGTCTCCCTGACCTCACACCGTCCGCCTTTCCTAATGCCCCGATCTGGTAAGGCAGCACCAGCATTCTCCCATTCACCTGAGTCTGAATCGTTTGAGTTCAGATTGGTCGTTCTTTCACTTTGTGGGTCAAGACTTCTTACTTTTGGTCTATGTACTCCCTCTCTCCAGGGAAACAGCTGTTGCTATTGTTATTGGTCAGCATTTATTGAGAACCTACTATATCCAAAGGACTGTGCTTCATTACAGGCTCACTGCTCCTGCTGAGTCTGCCTCCTGAGTTTGGTCTGGCTGACTCCTTCCTGGGACTTGCTGGTATCCTGACTGACTTGGCTTTGAGATTACCACTCCTTTCTGTTTTGCTATCCCGTGTAGGTGTTTCTGGGTCTGAAGTCCTCATCCCCTCCAGGATGTGACTAGAGATCCTTATCTTTTTCTTCTCTTCCTTCAGTTCTAGCCTGTCAGTTTATTCACGGGTTCTGACCTATCTCTCAGCCAGTGTCCTGCCTTTAATATCACACTTTCATGACTTCTAACTTGGT